AATGGAATGCCAATCTGACGACACCCAGGCACTTCGCAAGGAAAAGGGCGTTCCCACCAGCAAACCTGCTAGGCGCCCACCCGTCGGCCTCTGCGAGGCCGAGCCTGAGGGTCCTCACGGCGTGGCCGCGCGCCGTCGTGATGAGGCGGCCCACAAACGCGCACCCTGGAAGGCCTGGGGTAATGCCGCACCCCCAAGTTGACAGTTCATGCCCCTTGGGGGCGGGCCCCACCCGGCGGGGGGGGAGGACGGCGGGGGGGAAGGGGCTCAAGGGGGCGGGGGGAGGGGGGGGGGGGAGGGAGAGAGGGGGGAGGGAGGGAAGGAGGGAGGGAACAGGAAAAAGAAGCGCGTGAGGGGGGCAGGAGGAAGGGGGGAATGGAGAAGGAAAAAGAAAGGGCGAGAGGGGCCGGGGGATCGACGAGGGGGGGGGGCAGAGGAAGGGATAAGCGCCATTTTCGCGATGGCCGCCATCGCGAAATTGGGGCCTATCGCCGGCCCAGATGTTTCGATTTCCCCGTTCAGGGGGGGGGAATCCTAAGAGCATGACGATGTTTGGAGTCATCGATTTTTGGAGTCATCGATTTTCGGAACCATCGATTTGCGAGCCATCGATTTCCCCGTTCAGGGGAAGGTGTCCTACGAGCAGAACGAATCTCTGCCAGCGCACAGACATTTCCGAACACGTCACGAGCAGAACGAAAATCTCTGCCAGCGCACAGCCATTTCCGAAGATGTGACGGGCAGAACGAGCACACATACATTTCCAAAGATCACCAGTGGCTCCAAAACTCGATGGTTCCAAGCACAGATGTCCTCCGACGGAAGAAGGGGGGGCGGGGGGGGGCGGGGGCGGGGGGAAGGCCGTGGAGAGGGGAGGCCCTCCTCTCATGTGTTCCTTCCCCCTCCTCCCCTGGCCCCTCCCCCCCTTCTCCGATCCCTCTGCCTCTGTTCCCTCCTAATTGGCAGCCGTCGGGGTGGCGCGGGCAGCTGCCCGCGAAGTTCTGCAGCGGCGTGAACCACTCGGCGAACCAGCGCACGAAATCCAGCTCCCGCCATGACCACGTAGGTGAAGCAATTGCAGACACGACAATGGAAAACAACGTGCCATCCCTCATGTCGCGGAACAAAGCGGGGTCGAACACATTCGCAAACGTGCGGATGATGCTGGATGCACGATGCGTGCATGCGTGAAGCGTGGACCACCTGCAATGAGCGAACGACGGCAACGTCGACGCCGTAATGACAGCGGCGGCATTGCCCAAACCACGCGATTTCAGAGATGTGGCCAAAGAACCCATCACATTCGTATCCCGAAAAAACTTCACAAGAGCCTTCAACTTCGTCAGGAAATCTGGGAAGAAATCAAGCGTGCACAAACCCTTCTTTATCACCAGATCGAAAGTGCGCCGCCAATGGCTCGAACGAGGCACGCGTGGCATGAGCATCTCACTCTGGTGAGCATCTGGGGGTGGCGGCACTCTGATGAACCAATGCTAATCGTGAAAGAGGTTCGGCATCGTGTGGATCTTCCGCTCCGCACCGTTGTCGGTCAATATGCCTCGGGCGCGCCGCAGGATCCGCGGCAGCATGCTCGCGCCGACGACGAGGGTCAATTGCCGCAAGAGAGACGCCGTCTTGCCGATTGTATCCAGCTGCTGCCTGCCAATGGACGCGACGGGCAATAAACGACGGAAATAGTCGATACCCCCATCAGCGTGGATGAACAATTCCATGCTCGTGGCGAACAGCCCCTTGCCTCGATATTGCGGCCCCCACCAACAAACAAGAATGTCGACAGACTCCGTATTCAGCTGGGCGGAAAAAAAAGCACTCCAAACGTGCATGGCGAGAACGTCGAGCCGCACTCGGGCTTTACGGATGACCTCTCTATTGATTTGTTGCTGCCGTCAACCAGGTCGCTCGCGTCCACTCCCAAATCAAGGGCCGACGCATTTGCAGCTGTCATGATTGACGTGTTCAACTTGTGAGTGTGAGCCACGTTCATGCTGTGGCGCAGAAGCCTCAGTGTTCGTTCCAACGCGGTGTCGGGCATCACCAGGCTGCCAGGCGCTCTGCGCTCGACCCGAAATTGCTTCAACGCTGATTTGGGAGGCCGCTTGTATGGGAGACGATCGCAACGAGGCAGCCGCGCCGTGATCGGGGCGACGTGGGCAGCAACCGTCTCGCCATGAACCAAGATACGGGCAAACGTAGGACCGCACCTCCACAAGCACGAGTCGGCCACTGTGACGTGACGGTCAGACATCCAATCTTCCAGTCCCCAGTCGGCCCCCAGCGGGCCCCGCCCAACATCATGAAGCAAACAGTTGATGACATCGAACGGCGCGCCATCAAATGACCGAGGGCTTCGCAGAGCAAACGCATCAACCAACTCATAAATCAAGAAGCCGAGGAGGTCGGAGTAGCGAACCGTGGATTCACATTGCTGCAGCATGTGAGCGGAAACCGTGTCATCTGCGATCGGCGCGGGCGCTCTCGGCACCAGGCGCCATTCGACGAGAGCGAATCCAACAACGGCGCCCTCCAGTGGGAGCTCGGCGCCCTGCAGTGTGAGCTCCAGTGGCAGCTGCAACCACGCCCCGAGCTGAGCAGCTTGGATGATCAGCAGACACAGGCGTCTTGACGCTGCACTCCTGCGGCGGCGCGGCCTTCCTGCGGCGGCGCCGCCGCCCACGAACTCTGAGCCCCAGCCGCCGCCACCGCCGCCGCGAGGGGGCGGGCGGTCGGCGGCCGCCCCGCCAACAAACTCACCATGCGACATCTCGTTGCCGAGCGGCCCAAACGAGCCCGAGATCACGCAATTGAGTAAAAATTGTTACGGACGGTGGTGTTGATGGGTGGTGGTGATGGTGACGGCGGTGAGGATGGCGAAGATGGTGTTGGTGGGGATGGCGATGATGATGGTGATGGTGATGGTGACTGCGGTGAGGATGGTGGTGATGGCGATTGCGGTGATGATGATGGTGATGACGATGCGGGTGATGGTGGGTGACGATGACGGTGATGGTGGCTACGGGGATGATGGCGGCGATGGTATTGAGGGGTGGCATCGTTTCAAAATCTGGCTTTCGCCAACCCCCTGATCCTGGATCAGGGGCTGGGCATTGGAATCGCGCTTGTGATAGCCGAGCGCAGTGACCATCACCATCATCACCACCGTCATCATCACCCCCATCATCATCACCAAGACGGCCTCTCAAGGCGACCCGAGGCCCTCCTCGAGACGACCCGCGCCCGAGGCGCCCACTCACGACGACCCAACACGCCTTCACAACGATCCAACCGAAGAGTCCGCAGGATGGCCCCACTCGATGATGGTGAGGTTGGTGATGGCGGCGGTGATGACGCTCGTGGTGTTGGTCAATGAGATGATGACGGCGATGATGTTGTTGACGGTGTTGACGGTTATGCTGAAGGGTGTGATGATGAAGATGATGGCGGTGATGGTGGTTGTAATGATGGTGATTGTGGTTACGATGGCACTGCTGGTGGTGATGATGGTGACCATGGAGATGATGGTGATGATGGTGATGACGGTGATGGTGACGCTGGTGATGATGATGGCGGTAATGATGGTGATGATGGTGATGATGATGGCGGTAATGATGGTGATGATGGTGATGGTGATGATGGCAGGGGAGTAGTAGATAAAAGCCGATACGATCAGCCTTGATGTAGCCAAACTTTGAGCGTCGGGTGTACCCTGAAACCGAATAGGCTTTACCAGAGTGGCTTGTGCAGAATGGAAACGTAATCGTGTGCAGAGTGCAAGTCAGGACGATGCGTTGACCGACTTCCACCAATTCGCGTGAGAACGTTGATATGTGAAGGGTAGAATGCGTGAAATGCTGTTCATATACAAGTAGCCAAATTTTGTAAACCATATATATATATACATATATAAATATATATTCATATATATATGCATACATATATATGCCTGTTTGTATCTCCGCCAGAAGTTAGAAACATTGTCTATTGGCAGCTGTCGGTTGGGCGAGGCTCGCAGCTGGCCGAGATCAATGCCGGCAGCACTTCAACAAAACAAATCAGCGCGCAGAGAAAGATTATTCAATAATCAATGTCTCCCAGGAGGCGTTGGGGTGGACGGTGGGCCCAGAAAAACTGAAGCCAAAGGCTATGGAACACAGACAGCGGCGTAGTGACTGGAGGCATTCACGCTTGGCTGATCATGCCTGTTTGTATCTCCGCCAGAAGTTAGACACATTGTCTATTGGCAGCTGTCGGTTGGGCGAGGCTCGCAGCTGGCCGAGATCAATGCCGGCAGCACTTCAACAAAACAAATCAGCGCGCAGAGAAAGATTATTCAATAATCAATGTCTCCCGAATCCGCTATCATGTAGTGTTCTGGCAGGGCACGGAGAACAGGGATGGGTGGGTGGGGGACGCAAAAGGCGGACTGTGACTGAGGTGCTCAGCCAAGCACCGAGAAAAAGCTGCACAAAAACGCTGCGGATACTGCTGGGTTTTCTTGGTGCGCCAAACTCCGTGAACCTTGCCGGTCAGAGACGCATGAGGCTGCTGAGAAAAGGCGCAGACTCCTCTGGTGCCTGTACAACGTTTGCCTAGCGCTCTCAGCGCAGGGCAGTGCCATACCAGCAGCCTCGTGGGCTTTTTCCAAGGAGTGCCGTAGGCACACTGATCCAGCAACACGTCTTGGTGGTCAGAAAACTCAGCTCTCAAATGAAGGATACCAGGATGAAGCCAGAGCCTGGATGTCAGTGGGTTCTCTATGACCACAACGACTCTCTTAGGTAAAAGTTCCAAAAGCAACTTCACCAACAACTCTACCATGATATTTCCCAACTGCACAGCTTCCCTGTCACAATCACGCTCATACTGCGGATACCCCAACAAGAACTTGTCATCATCACGCAATCGGGGAAGAGGAGGGCGGTCGCGAACACGAGTCCAGGTCGAGCACACGATACCAACCCAGAGAACTGCGAACACCCCACTCAGCCCGAAGCGGTTCTTGCCCGTTTGGAAGTCGCGGGCGATGTTCCTGATGACGGCCGCACTCGAGAGGTCGGCCTTTGAACTGATTCCCGTGTCCCAGCCGACGCCGCCGATGCCCTGGCGGCCCGCGCTGTCGAGGATCCCGTGCGTGCCGCAGTACAGCTCCTGGAGGAGCCACGGTGTCCTCCAGCGCCGCGCCCGCCCGGGCTGGGGGCGGAGAACATACCCACCTGAGACTGCATCCACTCCGCCGCGCGAGACGCGGCGGCCTGTTGTGCCGTCGACAGCTTGGCCCACTCCTGCTGCACCACCCCCGCCGCCTCGTACCGCTTGACGGTCGCGTCCGAGCTCCACCTCCCTCGGCGCTTGACGTCGAGGAGCGTGCGGACCCCCATGAGGATGTCGTGGGACGGCCCCGCGTGGCGGATCTGGTACAGGCGATGCCGCTGGGAGGGGAGCAGCCCGAGCTGCTCCTGCGAGCGGCCCCACTGCATGCTGAGCTCCCTCTCGCTGACCTCGAACAACTTGGCCAGCCGTTGGCCTCGAAGTCGCCGATGCAGCGCGGGGCCCAGACCTGGGAGGCACGGAGAGTCGAGGAGCAGCGCCTCGTCGGACACCCCCACCTTTGACGTCTCTCCGCGGCGGGCAGGGTGCACGTTGAGCACCCAGTGAGTGCTCGAACCTCCTGGCGGCACCAGGTCCTCCTCCCTCAAGCTGTGGACGTCCACAGGCCTGAAGTAGCAGGCGAACATGGTCAGCAGGCAGAGCGGGATGGTCCAGTCCTGGAGGCGGAGGTATATGTGCCAGGCGATCCAGCACACCAGCTCGAACGGGACGGGCGGCACGGTCTGCGCTGGAGCCAGCAGGCCCAGCCCCCGAGCGGCGCGGGAGAACCGCGGAAAACGCAGCTTCCCGATGGGGGACAGGCCGGCCAGGTGCCAGGCGGCCGCGGCGTACATCTTCATGAGGTCGGGCCGCTCGAACCCTTCGAGAAACAAGTAGTCCGCGAAGTCCACCAGCGCAATGTCGGCATTCCTCACGCTGTCCAAGGTGTAGCCGTTCATGGCCACAAAATCCTGGAGCTCCTCCCACCAGGCTGTGTACAGGCCCTCCGTGGGTGCCGTAATCGAGTGACGTTCGAGAATGGAATGCTGGCCCGACAGGGCAAGACGCTCGAAGGCCCCGAAGATGCTCTGGCGCCTCTCTCGACGGATGTCTCTCGAGGGGCCCGAGATGCGCTCCACAGCTCCCTGGCGTTGGAGGCGCAGCGGCGTCGAGCCCGCAGGCCTCGCTGGGGTGGAACCCCGGTGGTGCCGCTGGAGCCGTGAGGTCACGCCCTCCCCGTGACGCGCCAGAGCCGTCTTCTTGCCCTTGGCGCGGCGGGTGGGCGCCCGAGCCGCTGCGGCCCTTCGGAGCCCTGACGTCACTCTCCCATCGTCTGGAGGATCGGTCGGCAACCTCATTGAGCTCAGAGGGGGTCCATCGTGCAGATAGACTCGAGCCAGTAGCCAACATGTAGGTAGCAATACGCCTGATGATGATGAGCAGGTCGTACGATGATGCCCGAGAGCGCCCAATAGCAAGTGTGTTCCCCAGCTGGTCCCCCACGAGTAGAAGACGCTTTCCAAAAGACCGAGACGACCTCATATAATGCTGTATCCCCAACAGAGACGCCCGACCTTCCAGAATAGGTATAGCCTCCTCCTTCCTGAAACGCATAGCAAACACCTCGTGCCACTTGTCGGGGTCCATGAAGGCCTCTGGGATCTCGTCGAACCCTGGGTTGACCTCCAGGTCCTCAGGAGCCTCCCCAAGGGCCTGTCGGGTTACTGGTAAGACCGTGCCCACATCGTGAAGAGGGTCCCCACCCAGGGCATGCAGACGAGGGCGACAGTGAAGGGGATGACGAGAGCGATATCTCCATCTCTCACGGACTCGGCCTATGGACGCCACTTCTGAGGGGTCAGCCTGGCGCGCAGCAATCCCTGCACCAGACTCGCACGCATCAGTCGACACAACTGTATCGTGCCATGGCCTGTCCAACCGAGCGAGGCCAATGAAAGTTAGAGAACGTATCCAGCGAACTTCGCGCCGTGCAGAAGCCCACAAACTCTGGGGCTTCTTCTCTGCCGCCTGCGCAAAGTCGTAGCAGGCTCTGAGCACCGAGAGGACCTCCCGTCTAATCAGAAAGAAATCGACCACGTGGCCAAGGTACTGCTTCATCTGCCTACCCGTCACTGGTTGACCCCCCTCAAGAGCCTCACAAACCTTGCGAAGACGTTCCCCTCGTTCAGACCGATTACGAACCACCCAGGACTCCCCATCGATAACGCGACCCAGCGAGTACGACAGGGTCTCGGGCTCGGTCTCCTCATGGACAGTGAACTGCACGAAACGAAGCCTCCGAACGATCACATCCTTAGCCTCCTTCACCTCCTCCCTCCTGATGCCTGCCACATTGATGTTGTCGCAATAGGGTAGAACGGCCAACTGGGTCCCAAGATCCGGAGCAGGGGCCTGGTCTCTCAGGAACTTGAAAGCCAAGCCAGCCCCAGCCAAGGAAACTCTGCACTGGTGCTCCACGAGGCGCTGGACGAAATAGAAGGCCCAGGAGAACCCCATTGGAAGAGTCAGCAGCATAGGGTAAACCGATACCTCACGTGCCAGATCCCCAAGGCCACTAGGGCCAACAATACCAGCGTCGGCTCTCTCTCCCTCCGTGATCGGCGGCATGCAAAAATACGGGCACAGCTCTGGAAGATTGCGAACGCAGTGGAAACAATCCTTCACGTCCGCCTGGGCTACCCAGAGCTTGCTTCCGCCGCTTCCGCTGTCGTCAGCTCCGCCGGCCTCGGTTCCAGGACGAGCCTCGGGACGCTCCAGGTTGCCCCATGCTGCAGCCGTGCCCATCTCAGGGGCAGGGGGTGCTCGGAAGAGGAGGTTCGTGTTTCGGCAATCCATGATGAGTCGTAACCTGTCGTGCTTCTTTACTACGAAGAAAGGGGTCACCAGGCTCAGAGGCTTCTCTGTCCAACCAATCATCTTGGCGTCGCTAAGGTCTCTCAAAAACTCAACGTAGACTCCTCGCTGCGCTTTAAAAATCTCGTCGAAGTACAACCTAAACTGATGTCCCGACTCTCGATAGAACCCCACATCAGCAGGGTCAGCAAGCATATGAGTATCCCATGACTTCAGCAAATCCTGGTCAGGCTCCGGGAGGGTAGACAGTAGATCCGCCGAGGGCCTCCCGGGATCTGGAAGAGAAACCTGATCCCGCCGATAGGGACGAACCGTGGTGCTGCAATCGCTGCCTGCATAGTCAACGATGCCTGACAAGAGCTCGCGGACGGCCCCGTGTCTGGTGTACAAGGTCTGGGATGGCGGAGTGGACGCGACGTCACAGCGTATCGCATCCTGAGACAGCATCTGGCCCATCGCGGGGGTTCCGTCGTGCACCCCGGCGCAGCCCTGCATCTCATTCAAGGAACTGATGACAGAGTTGGTAGCCCTGTCCAAAAACCTCCTCCTCGCCAGGCGTCTTCGCACCGAGCGTGAGGGATGACCCTCAGTAGCCGACTGCTCAGCGACGTGAGGGAGCGGAAAGAGATCTCGTGGCCGAGCTCTATCAAACAATTGTGGACCTCCTGGGTGAGTCACTGCCGAGGGGCTAGGTCCGTCGCCCCTCGGAGGGGGCCGCATCACCCCTGTCCCTCTGAGGTCTTGTCCTTGTTGTTCTTGTGATTCTGGCGGCCCAGGCGGCGCTCCTCACGAGCCTTCCTCTGCTCCTTGGTCACCTGGTGCTCATCGCGGAGGGCTGTCGCCACGTGCTGCTGGAGCAGCGGGGCCACCATCATGCCCTGTCGGCGGCGGCCCCATCCCATGTGCTGGTCGGCGGCCGAGTAGTCGGGAGCCGATGGGCTCAGGGAGTGGGCGCTCTCGATCAGCTGGGGCCTCCTGCACACGAGCTCCGCACTGCGCAGCGCGGGGGCGTGCAGCTGGTCTGTGCACACCATACTCTCGAGCACCTCAGAGAGCACCTCATGCTCGAAGACGCTGCGGTCCCCGCTCGACACACCAGACGTCGCCCTCCACGACGCATGCTGAGACACTGGCGTCTGGGACCTCTCGACATAGGTTTGGCACCTCCAGGACACTGTGCCAGGACCCTCAAGCCCCAAGCCCCCCTCGGGCTCGTCGGGCACGAAGCTGGCGACGCCATCCTGGAAGAGCCTCCTGCGCCTCCCCATGCCATCGAACTTCACAGGCATCACCCTGAGGTCGTCCATCTTGAACTCATCGATGCCGTCCTGGGGGATCATCTGCAAGAACGCCGTGCTGCCGTCCGCCATGGGGACGACCGCCCTCTCGCCCAGGACCACTGATCCCGCGGGGAGCTCCTCCATGCCATCGCCCTTCTGGTGGCGGCCATGGTCCTCGGCGAAGACCCATACGCGGCCTGGCTCGGCGCGTCTGGCGGCCGCCCCGGCGGGCCGGCCTAGGCCCTGCCTCTGCACGTTCCGCATCGGGGCCGCCAGCGGGGCGGGTGGATGCGCTGGTGCTGCTCCCAGCATGCCCTGCGCCTCCGCGAAGAGCCTCTGGCGCTCATTGGGCGGCACGTTGTGTCGGAAACGATAGATCTGATTCTCTGGCACATGGGCGGGGCGACTTCCTGGCAGCCCGATCCAGTACACCGCCCCAACGTCATCCCCAGGCGCTATGTTGAACTGATAGTGATCCTGGTCGGCGGTGTACAGGGTAACCTCAGTAGGATCCTCTGGGCTGACCCCTGTGATCAGCGTCTCGTGATACAAGTCCTCGTCTACCCCATTGTACTTAATAAGGATATAGTCTCCCCTGGCTGCCATATCTACTGCTGCTTGTGGCGGCCAGTCTCACGACGGGCGCGCACGGCTGCTACCTGCTCAGCGGCGAGCCGCCGCCGCCTCTCGTCCGACTCGGACGAACTGGCGTGCTGGCCGTTCGCACCTCTCTGGCCACGCGTCCTCCGGGCACACCAGCACCCGAGCAGCACTCCTGCGACTGTGGCAACCAGCAGCGGCAGGAAGAGGATGGCGAAGATGCCGTCCTCCAGCAAGGGGTACACCTCCCTGATGTCGGGGACCGACGGGCACTCCACGATCGGACAGTCAGTCTCGGGGCACTCGGGTCTGGGGCAGACCACCTCTGGGCACTCGCAGACCACCTCTGGGCACTCCTCCTCGTGCCCTGGGTAGCCTCCTCCGCCCTCAGGAGAGGCGGACTCCTCAGGCCCTCGCACGGCCTGCCAGACGAGGGCAGCCCAGCCCGGCAGCCCTGCTATCGCGGCAGCGTACAGGGCCTGGAGGTCTGGGTCGAGCATACACCCAGAAAAACTGAAGCCAAAGGCTATGGAACACAGACAGCGGCGTAGTGACTGGAGGCATTCACGCTTGGCTGATCATATATAATATCTCCGCGGAGGGGTAGTCGACTACCCCGCGGGGGTGAGCAAGGACCCCCGCACTTCACAAGGGGTTCGCTACAGCAAAACCAATGCCTTACCAAGCGCGAGGGCGTGACTACCCGACCAGCGAAACGCACTGAACGCGCCGCTGGCTGCCTGCGCCAGAAACGGTCACTGAGCGGCCCAAGTTCCCAAGCGCGGGGGCGTGACCCCCCGTACCAGCAAAACGCACTGAACGCGGTTGCTGGCTGCCTGCGCTGGAAACGGCCGCTGAGCGGTGCAGACCCCTAAACGGCCAGGCAGTCGCAACACTGGCAGCGCGGGGGCGTGAGCCCCCGACCAACATGACGCACTGAACGCGCATGCTGGCTGCCTGCACCAAGGACGGCCACTGAACGGCCCTGCATGAGCACGCGTCTGCAGATGTTGGGGACGTTCAGATCTCTGAATTTCCGAAAGGCTTCGCCCTCCTCCAATTCGTGCCACTGCCCCCTCTCCCTTCCCCCAGCCCTCTCCCCATGCATTTCCCCCCACCCCCCATCCCTCCCGCCTTTCACTCTCCCCTCTCATCTCCCCTCCTGCTGCCCGCTTCTTGCCTCCCTGTCCTCCTGCCCCCCCGCCCCTCTGCGCCAAATTCCTCCCTCCCTCGTGTCCCCATCCCCTCCGCTGCCACTTCCGCCTCCGACTGCTCCGCCTTCGACTACTCCGCCCACTTCTCCTCCGACTACTCCTGCTCCTCCTGCTCCTGCTTCTGTTCCTGCTCCTGCTCCTGCTCCTGCTCCCTCCGCTCCCTCCTCCTCCTCCTCTCCTCCCCTCCTCCTCCTCCTCCTCCTCCTCCTCCTCCTCCTCCTCCTCCTCCTCCTCCTCCTCCTCCTCCTCCTCCTCCTCCCCCTTTTCCCTCCTCCTCCTCCTCCTCCTCCTCCCCTCCTCCTCCTCCTCCTCCTCCTCCGCCTCCTCATCCTCGCGACTCCTCCCCTCCTTTCCTCCTCCTCCCCTCCTCCTCCATCTCGCCCTCCTCCTCCTCTCCTCCTCCTCCTCCTCCTCCTCCTCCTCCTCCTCCTCCTCCTCCTCCTCCTCCTCCTCCTCCTCCCCCTCCTCCTCCTCTGCCTCCTGGCCGCTGGTAGGCCGTGCCTCCAGCACGGTGAGATTCTCCGCCACGCCCTCGAGCTGGGCGGACAGGTCCCCGCGCAGCGCGGCGGAGCACGTCCATTGGTCCTGCGCCGGGCGCCTCTGCCCTGCTCCCTCCGATTTGTTTGTCCGGCCTAAGAAGTTGTCGCGCTGAGCTGGTCTGTCTTTCGACCCAGGGAGTTGCCGCCCTGACCTGGGTCGTCTGTCGGCCCAGGAGGTTGCCGCACCACACTGGGCTGCCTTTCGACAACCGACCTCCACACCAAACACCTTGCACGCGGCTCGGGATGCTAGCTGGAGGAACGAAGTAGCACCCATGTGGGTTCGAGAGGCGACAGACTGATACAGAAGCGGGGGCACGCAACGAAAATGTCATGAATTACGGCCCGCAAAAGCGGAAGGAAGACGAAGAGAAAAGGGGGAGGAGGAGGAGGAGGAGGAGGAGGAGGAGGAGGAAGCGAAGACAAATGGGAAGGTATAAGCTGCGCGCCAGACTCACCCCAGTCCGGCCCAGAGGAAGCGGCAAGCCCCAACACTCAGAAACCCTTCCGATTGCAGCTCCAGCAACTAAGCAAGCGAAAACCATGACGGACGGTGGAAAGCGGCGGCGGCGGCAGCGGCAGGGAGAGGAGAGGATGGACAGTAACACACGAAACGAGCAAATAACACTGGCCGCCCAACCATTGGACAGGCCCCCCCAAGAATCGGTAGGAAAACAAAGATCTGGAGAAGACTGAAAATGCGTGAGACCATCGACGAACTGACATCCTCGTGGACTTGGATGCAACGTGGCGGACTACACCCTCCGTCGAAAACTGGAGCTGAACCATTCGGGGGGGAACGAAAAGAAGACAGGAATAATAGGCGGAGAGCAGGACACTCCCAGCAGGACTAGCCGGCGCAGTCTTTCCTCTGAGAATCGGAGTAAGACGACAAAGGGATTAAGGTCTCGTGTTGACTCTGCTCAGTAGTAGAGGATACGGGAAGAGACATCGATGAAACTGCAAGTGACCGTTAAGAAATTGTACTCAGGAGTGGTAAGGGAGGAGGCCGGCCGGCCGACGACCGACGACGCGCGGCGGCCGAGGGCTGGCGCGCGCCTTTTATTTTATCTCCTTGAAGCACAAACAGCTGCGGCACGAAGCCGCAGAGTCAAGGTGTGGCAAGGCAGGCAGCGAGAGAAGCAAGTGTAAGAAGAGGCGGAGAGGAGCATATTTACTCCCCCCTCGCCGGGATTCGTAGGGCCCATCCAGCCACAGCTCACCTGGCCTGTACATATGTACAACCACCGGAGCGAACCGCAAAAACTTGTACCACTCAGCGGTGGCTGCCAAGGAGCTGTGGGCCGAAGAAACCTGACGATTCCCACCAATAGTTAAATAACTTCTCTCTGCCGATGCGACTTTGTCGTTCGGTTGAGCCCGCAGCGACTTGGTCGCGCGGGTTCGGCCTAACTCAGATCTTGCCAAGGATTTCCCCGCGATGGCGGAGTCGGAGGTCTCGGATGTGAAGATGACGAGCCCCCCTGCTGTCCCGCGGCCCAATGGGGCGAGCGGGATCTGAATCCCTTGCCGCGGCCGGCGTAAAGCGGCGGCCCGTTGAGCTTGTCATTGTTCTTGGAATCCTTTCCTTTCCTCGGAAAATAATAATTGTACTCATTCAGGTACACCACATGCCACGCACTTGACCGTATGTCCCTGTGGCTCATCCGGGATATATCATCCCGGTGAACGTAGTACCCACCCAGTGCATCATTTGCGTAGCGCGGGCAATGCTTCGAGGGGTCGTAGCCGGCAGCGCCGCGGCCGACATCCATGGCTCCGCCGCGCGCGCGTAGGCCTCGACCAATCCCGTGTGTCTCTGTCTGACGAATACCATGAGTGCTCATCACCTGCCACAGCGGTTTGACCGCTGGCAGAGTATGGAGATTCCGTGACTTCGTCGTGGGCCCGATCGTCTTGGACGTCGGATCTGCGTGGAGGAGGTGGCGGTCTGGGCCTCGCTTTCGCCAAATCACTTGGCCGCATCGGCCCCTCCGCATCGGCTTGGCCGTCGGGGGGCCCAGCAGCGCCTCCACTCTCACGAACGCCCATCACTCGCTTTCTAGCAAATCTAATAATGTCTCTTGCAGCAGTAGCAACAATAATGCCAAACTTGTCGCAGGCAGTACGAAATTGGCCTTCATATTTATCTTGAAGCTCCGCATCTTCGTCTTCATCTTTAGCCTGAAGCCAATAAAGAGCCTTTTGCAACTTCATGCCCTGACGGCGGATGTCTACGCGGCCCTGTTTGCCCAAGTCACGGGCCCATTCCTCAGCGAGGTCATCCGTCTCAATCGCGGCACGAACGCGGCAGTCGAGGGCGCATGCATCTTTTTGGCGCTTGTCGTTATCGTATTCTACGCCGGTGCCATGGGCAAGAAAGTTATTCCCAGGGTACGCAATGCAATGTCACTCGGCGATGAAGCAACTAATGATCTCGCGAACAATCACAATCACACGATTGATGCGAAGACCCAATTCCAGTTCTGGAACAGGAACCTTTCAATTCCAATCAATGATGTCCCGCGCACTATCTGGGACTCCGTGCGTTACCTCACCCGACAGTCGTAACCCATCAGGGTCGTTTGCCTCCGGGCGAAAGCTGTTGTATTCCATAACATATTGGGCGGCCACTTCTTTGGCTCCGCCCTGGGTCCATGTGATGTTCAACCATTTGTCGTCGCGATGGGAATACGTGTGCCCATTGGGTTGATCAAAGTTGATCCCCCCATCAATTATCTGCTCGGTCTTGGACCCGCAGACTGCAGTGAAATCAAATGTCATGTGTAGATTCTCCTCACCTGCCGTCACGGTTGGACCGGCGGCAGGTTTGGTATGCGTACACACTGAAACAAGAGGGTGATCGGAACATAAATTGATACGCCTGCTAACGGCTAACGGACTGGGAAGCACGACGAAGGCGTGCCACAAAACGATTTGCCCAAGCAACCGGTGGACGGTCACGAAGGCTGAGCCCTGTGACGTCCATGGCGTTGCCCTGATCAGCGGGCAGCCAGGGTGCTGCCCCCGCTTTTGCGTTGAGCAACGTCCGAAGCGTTGGCACAAAGATGTTCGCATTATTCATTTTGCGCTCCCATCCGATCCAACCTTCTGTTGGTTCATAGCGTGTGTCAGGTTCCCCTGGCCGCTCGAAGGCAGCCAGAGCAGGACAAGACATTGGACGCGCATACTGGTCAATGTCCGTTGCCCAATGTAAGGGCCACCAGTCTGCGATCGTTGGAGCTTTGGTCGCTTCTCTCTGAGCCAAGTGTGCGAGCCATTTGATGAATCGCCTCTTCAGAGGCTCGAGGTACTGAAAGAAGGGGCCGTGACGCGCCGGCGGCTGGGCCGCGGCGTGGTCAGGAATCCAAGCAGGAACGCTACCTGCGCGGCTGTTTCCAAAGGTTTGACCCGAAGCAGCCAAGCGCCTATACTGATCATTCGTTGCCCACTTGCGCTCCTGCTGCAGATTGTTGTTGGTGTTCTATATTACATCTGCCGGAGCTCTCCGTTGTCTTTCTACTCGCGCGCCAACCCAAGCATCGCGCGCGCGAGGGGGCGTATCAGGGTCAACAACATGCAACAAAATGCCATTTCTCTCAAGCAAAGTTGAAATGACGTTATGTCGGTACGACTGAAGCAAGTAGTCGTGAGCAACCTTGTATTTGTACCTGATCGGATTGTTGCAGGAGGGGCAATGTCCAAAGCCAGTTCGCACCCAGTGCAAGTTAGCGCAAAGGAACCGACCATCGGCCCCCCAAGAGACAGACTGAACAAATGCTGGTGCCTCGGGAGGCAACTGAGGCAGATGACCTGGGATCAAAAACAAAGTCTCGTCTGTGTGAATCCAACCGAGCATTGAGTTGTTATCATAATTTACCTCGTATGATGCCCACTCATGGTTGAAGACAATTGACCAATGCATTTTCTTTTCTCTAGAATCCATCCAGTCGCTGACTTTGACAAGGGAGACGGCTTTGTCAATGTCAGTGAACCTCGGCACCTCACGGGACACAAGAGTCCCGTCCTGGCAATTCCTATACGAAAAACAGGGTGAGCACCCGGCCGTTGAAAACAATAATTAACGGCCAGGACTCTCTGTGAGTCGGAAGCTGGTCCCAGAGAAGGACCGTGTCCTCTGCGGGCCATGCTCCGATTGATGGTGGCTCTCCTGCCTGTGGGCCATTGCCCATGGCCACGAACCTCCTCGCAGGAACAGGGTCGCCATACCTCCGCTGGCTTAGCCACGAAGGAAGATGATCTTGTCCTCGCATGTTTGGATCCTTCTTGGTCGGGAGAAGCCTCAGCAATTCGTAGCCTGCCTCGAGCCAAAGCCCCGAGTCTCTTTTGGGGAACTGCACTTCTCCGACCGTGGATTCCAGCAGTGTCTGCATGTCGGTGATATGGAGGAGGGGCCCATGACTCCTGGCTTGGCCAGGGTCATAAGGCACATACATTCTCTCAATTGAAGCAACGAAAGTGGAATGTCCCTGGCATGCTCGATTGAAAACAAGAATGGGAGAGGCACTCCTCTCCACCTTTTGAGAGGGCCATGCTTTGTAGTCGCTCCACTTGCTATAAACGGTCGCCTCGCTAAAACTGGCACTGTCGTTAGGAAGAACACCGAGGACCTCCACAGTTCCCGGCTGCAACGCGGCTAGGCCGTGTGCAGCAAGAGCATACGTCTGATATTCAAATCCGCCCTCGGCGATCTTCTCAACCAGGTCTCCAAAGTAGACCCAGCCTCCCGAGGACCTCGCGCAATCAGAACAATGCCTCGCGAGATACGCTGCGCAATCACCGACGTGCCGAGCGAACTCGTCTACTCGGTAACTTTGGGGTCTCCAAAAATCCGCACTGCCTAGGGCAGCCGGATTATTGGGATCATCGACCCAACAACCAATGGTGTCAAACATTTAAAAGACTAAGGAATAAATCCGTCGGGGATATCATTGTAATAAAACTCAGCACGGAGTAATTCTCGCGCCAAATCGAAAGTGTTCTCTTCTATGTCAAGTTCGCTCAATAATGCAAATATTGGATCTT